TTTTAACGTTATCGATAATGCCGTCAGCAAGCAGCTATCGCGTCAGCCAGAGGCCGGTTTTTCAAAATGATTATTTCTAATACTATCACTATTGTAGACATTAAAGGTCAACACTTTAAAATCGAAAGTCAAAGATCAAATTCATACGCGAAAATCATTACAAATTGTCGTGCTTAAATTCACCAAATGATCAAATCAGGCTTGTGAATTCGTGCGTGAGAAATACTGCATTCATATAAATTGTTTCAAGAATATTTCATAAATTTGTACATACACCCTTATCATATTTATTTTACACCCTTATCAAGGATGTCCGCTCGATTTTTGCTAATTTTTAAATAAAACTTTCCTATACAATTATTTATAACGCTGTTAATTATATAAAACAGATCTTTTAGTTTCTAAAAAATTAATTTCTTCTACACATATTTATCTCCCATTACATAAAATAACTTTCCTCTACAGAAAAGTCTCTAGAGTTTTGTAGAGTCTCTATATATGACAATCCTCTCAGAGATTCGCGATCAAATAAAAAACTAGACCAATCAGTAAGAAGGCAAAGGTGCCCAGACTTTTGCTTCGAAAACAATTGTTATAAGAAAATCTATCGTTCAGTTTATCAAAAATTTATACAAAATACGTCCTAAATGCTCGAGTAAGCTTAACATTTCAGTCAATAATATTAACTTTTTTGCTACCAACAGGACATATGTTTTCTCCACCATTAGTAATAACCTTATTCAGTTAAATGAGCAGCTTTTTTTGACATTCAGCTATCACTCTACTTATTACCATTGGATCAAATATGCCCTCCCAACAATTCCAGTGGAACATCAGTGTCCCGGTTCTTTAAAACTACATTATATGTTAATGTATTTAATGAAGTAAAAGTAAAAAAATCATGGCTTAAAAAAATTGGTAGTAATATTAATCAAAGAAAAAATCAAAGAAAAAATTCGATTTGCTTACTACACAAAGTCAAAATCTTTTTTTCGATGAAATTTAATAATAAAGAGAATAAATTTTTCTTTCGTGTGCGCATGATAATAAACTTTTGTCAAATTTATCGTGAGTACATCTTAAAATTATTATCAAGAAAATATTGAGGATAACCATTACTTAAAAAAAAAGGAAACTAGACTACGTAATCACTTTTCTTAGCAGCAGAATAATATTTTTCCGTGTATATCCAGAGAATTTTAAAAAGAGACGAACATTCTTCAGTAAGTTCCGTTGACTTATTGGTGTATATTTCATTAAAAGTTCCCTTCGAATTTATTGTTATTCCATTGCTGACCCTTTCATCAGGAATCTATTCTCCCATCGAAATCGTGACAGATAAATCTGCGTGATAAATACGCGCGCGGACTTACAGGACGACCCGACAAGGATAAATCTACGGCGCGTAGGAACATCTTCCGAGAGTAGGTCCAGCAGGATGCTGTGATCGAGTTGCGATCAATCTCGCGCGTTGCCTCCCTCTCGTCTCTCTCTCTCCTCGCGTCCCATTTATATTTAGATTTCCACAGGAGCGCGCGTACACACCTTTGTAACAGAAATTCGGCCACAGTCACTTGCATTCGCGCAACGTGCTGCGGATGTCCGAAAGGACGTCAGAGGTAATCGATCGAATCCCCGCGGACGTGTCACCGTGCGAGAGGCACTTGCCCTTTGATTTGCAAGTCTCTCGTAATGTGCCCCTCCGGCACATAAATCCTTGCGGCGCACGCTACGAGCGCAAAGGGTTAATTGCTACATGTAAATCACACACTGGGCCACGCCGGTGTACGCGATGGTGTATATAACGCGCGCGCACCAACGTGTACAACGCACACAGTCTGCAGGTTCGATCTATGTAGCTCGACGCGTTGTTACATTATTTATCTATCGAGCGGCTATGGCGACCGCGAGAGGGGGATATCCGAACGTATTTATTAATGAACTAACGACGTTCGCGCGCGGCTTACAGAGAAATGTTAATTAGACACAATCTGGAACCTTCTATATATTTATTGCCGTCGGCCTAATAATGTTCATTCCGGGCCCGATACACGGCTTTATTTGATCCATCGCTTTTGACTGGCTTTCGTCCGGCGTTCACTCTCTCGTAATCGTCTCCCTTTACGCGATTTACATAAAAAACGGTGGAGAGAGGATGGAGGTGAAAGAAAAACCGCGATCGCAAAGCGATTGAAGTCATGAATTTCGCGCGCGGCTGCGCGCGTATGGCAATTAGCGAGATTAAAGTGCTTGTTATGCGTCTCTGTTGAAAATAGACTTTCAAGCCGCGCGCGTGGCAGTATCAATGACGAGAGGGTTTTTGCAGGGTTCCACTAATTTCCGAGGAAGATCGTCCTATTCGCAGCGACGAATAGAAGAGAATTCCATTTCTTGTATTCGCTGTTTGTAGGAATAATTATCATTCTCGTTTCGATGCATCACGAAAATATCGTTGTGGCAGCGCTTCGATACCGTGAATGAACATAATTGCATCGGCACGTATGGATTTTTTCACAGTTATAATGACGCGCGACACACGTCACGACGGATCGTCGCTTCAAGTATGCACAATGACGCGCGCAGCCGATGGTGTATACCTTCCATCGCAGCTCGTCGCGTATTCGAAAGGTCGACAACCGGCTCGGGAAAGTCTCCTATTAAACTGTCGCGTTAACTCGCACGACTCTACACGCTGGGACTCGCACGCACGAAGAGACGAGGCTTGAGATTTGAGGAAGCCTCGACTGTAACGTAACGGGACCGTAACGCATTGTCGAGTCCTTAAAGTACCAATTAGCGAATCTAAGCGTAATCACGTCTATGCCCGTCGTTGTAAATAAACGTTCGCCTAAGCCATTCACGTTTCAACGTGCATCGCGCGAAATTAACGGCGCGCTTCTACGCTTCAACGCTGAATTTCATCGACTCGAGGTCTAGCGCGAGGAAAATTCACGAGAAAGAGAGAGAGAGAGAGAGAGAAAGGCGCGAAATAAACTGAAAATTATCGTAAACGAGAAATTTGCGGGCACAGAGAGAGAAAGAGAGAGAGAAAGGCGCAAAATAAACCGAAAAGTGTCGTGAACGAGAAACTTGCGAACAAAAAGAAAGAAAAGGATAGAAAAAGAAAGAGAGAGAGCGCTGTAACGTTATTATTGAGTCCTTGATACACACTCGTTAGTGGATCTAGGCGTAATCATATCTGTTATGGCTCTCGTTCCAAATAAACGCGTCTCTAAGCTTGCTCGCGCTTCGGTGCGTATCACGAGAAATTAAAGATACGCTTCGCTCGATGCTCGATTTCGTCGACAGAATAGACGAACGGCAGATGCGGCATCTCGTTCGCAAGAGTCGCGTTCGCTGGCGAGATGTCGGCCCGGTAAGTCGAACGGACCGTCAAATGCGTTTCATTACGCAAATGATTTTCCATTTATTAATAGCCGCGATTTGGCAACCACTGTTGTTTACCGAGCTCGGCCATATACGTCGCGCGGATGTATGTGTATGTACCGGCACACGTACGCTAGTTATTACGGAATTGACGTGTGTACAGCGCCGTTCAGGGACGATATTCAACGACGGTAACGCTACTCGAGGATCCCTGACATGTCATCGCGGTATATCACGTTACTGTAATATTAAACTTCGTGTAAAAAAACCTCGTCGACCGCATACGAACTTGACGACGTGACGCTCTGAAGCCGACAACAAGTTTATAACCGTAAATTTATTATAAGTGGACGCCACGAATTACATAAGAATCAAAAAGATCGCGTTCAATTGTTATTTATTATTGACACGGAGAAAGTTTTATAGTAAACATCACTAGAGAATTTTGTGGAACAAATTCTGAGAGACAGATTCTGTAGTAATTTATTATCCTTTCATTTCACACACGCTCTTTATTTTAGGAAATGAATTAAAAGATTTATATTTTTTTACTGTGTCTCTTAGCAAGATAGATCTTACTGTGACAGTTTATTCCTGCACTACTGGGAACATAGTAAAATTGAAATTTATATGAAAAAGAAAACAACTATAATGTTCTCTCTGTGTCACACAATTCGTAAGAGACACGAAGAAAATGTATGACAGAGAGGTACTGTATACGAATCAAACGGTCGAGATATAAGTCAAGTTAGAGAAAAAGATTCAATTGCGTTTCTCAGTTAGGGTTGAAAAATACCGAGATTGCCTCTTGCGTAAAAAAACCAAGTTAAAGAGCCCTAAAACAATTCTCTGTGAGTGTAGCAGATAAACGTTACTAGCCCGGGGCGTTTCATGGACAACGCTGTAGACGAACTTGTGGTGTGTGCACGCGTGCGAGGGAGTCGTGTACGTTACTTCACTGCACGAGCACGACCGCAAATTGTAAATGACGGCGTTGTAAACGGTCGACGAGTGCGCGGCCGCGAACACGTGTTGGTGCGTGCGTGGCCGCCTGCCTGCGTGCGAATTTGCACATAATGTGCGAAAGCGAGCTCGAGAATTTCAAAGTAGACGTCGTCGACACGAGACAGATGCGCGATGGTGGCTTTCGATCGAGTCTCGCGTTTCGATACGCGCGGAAGTCGGGCGATCTTCGTACTAGCGTGAAATGTGATTCCACACGCTACGCTAAACAACTTACCGACTGTCTGATGACACGCGTATTGTGTAAATTATTTCAAATGTCGATTATTAGTATAATGTATGCACGTAGTCTGCGCGCATGCAGACCAAAAGAAGAAAAATAGAGATATAAGATGAAAATACTAATGCCTAGACACGTATCTATCTCTGGACATTCTTATCGCTTTGGTCTTTTAAATACTTAATTAAGCTTTCACTCAAGTATTTAAGTTTTCAACACACACACACACACACACACACACACACACACACACACATATATATATATATATATATAGCTTTAAAATATACATACATATAATGGAGAGGATTTTATAGTAAACTTGAAAAAAATTTATATAAAAAAAATATTATAATGTACTTTCCGTGTATACATATATTCCAAGTTAATAGTTTAAATATTCGTATTTTAAATATTCGTATTTAAAGACCCAAACAATAAGAATGTCCAGAGTTAGATGCGTGTCCAGACATTGGTACTTTTGCTTTATACAAATAAGATGAGATGACGTTCCTCCCGATTGTTTTCTTCAATAGCCTAATCTCACAGAGCTGAATTGCAAATTGGTGTATAATTCGTACTATTTTCTGGATTTTATTATCTAATAAATATTGCTCACACATACACACATACACACAAATATCCACGATTCAGCTCCAATTATCATATGTAGCTTGAATGTCTTACTAAAGTGAATACTAAAGTGCGATTTTCATGTTTCTTGCCGGATCAATTTGATTACGGCAAAGACCCGTTGAAAGAGCGACATCGACTCTAGCAACTCGTCGAAAGTGATTGGATTAAATGATTATAACGTAACGCTGGCCGCTCAGCCATGGTTACCGGGTCGTCCAAAAAACTGCGAGAGAACCTCGATTACGCCACCGTCGAGGGTGATAGTAAATGTTACCGAAAACCGGCAATACCCGCCTTCATTACCGTCATTCGCGCGTCATCATAAAGTCGTTAAAAAGTGATGAGCGTTAATTTTACCGTCGGGCGTTACTTTCGACGCGCTATTTGCCCCGCTGTCGCAATTACCCCGATTGATTCCGCAGCCTCGAGTCACGGCCAGCGCGAACCGCGAGTGTACTCAGCGAGTCATTAACCCAATTGATCGATCCTTCGTAGCCGCGCGTCCATCTGCCCGTCCGTCCATTTATATCTGTTCGTTCGTTCATCCATTCGCCCGTACTTTCACCAAAAAGCGCGCGCAAGAGCGCTTTTACTCTCGTAGCTTGAAATCCCCGGGCGAATTAAGCCCGACCTCGATGCTCTCGCATAGGCCGCGCGTCGCTTGAATATGCATGCAAATTCCATCCTGTTTACAACGGGCGGGTATCTGGCAAGCGCTCGGCAACCGATCGCCACGGGTGACACAGATATTTTCTTAACCTCTAGAAGGCACCTACAGCCAAGCACACTGCATATAACGGCGAACCAGTCTCCTCTCTATCATGCGACAATTTTCACCCCGCGCGCGACGGAAAACAAATCGTTGCGCAACGGCAAGTCGAGGTTATTCCCGTTGATCGACGTTATAGATCGACGGTAGAGACGCGTAGCTAGGTAAGTGGACAGGTAGGTAAGTCAGAGAAGTCTAGCTCCTAACCCGACATGGTGCCACCTCGAAACCGATTGCGAACTCGGAAGTTCGCAGTCGATTCCCCTTGTCTCACGGCGATTCCGCGTCTCGAGCCCGTAGTCGAAAACAAATGGTTGCGCAACGACGAGTAAAGTTATTCCCGCGTCGGACAGCGGACTAAGGAGGTTTAAGACGCACCGTCGAAGAAACGGGGGACTCCTGGGAGCAGGTATGAAGTCGCTTTCAAGTCGATCCGGGACGTTCAAAACAAATCATTGCGCAACGACCGCATGTGAAATTACCCGCTCGAGATTGTTTACTTCGAATTGCGAAGAATCACCTGACTTCAACGCATAAAATCATGATGTTTATACCACTGGTGTGGACGATGTTCATTATTAGCGGTGGAAAGATGATTCGCGAGTGGGCAACGCAATGTCACAAACACACTGAGAGAAAAAGTGATTCAGCTAACATTTTAGTTATTTTTGGCCCTAATCATATTTTGTGCAGTAAAGTGATAGTTGTAACATGCATATAAGATTATCACACTAACGTTACAGTAAAATTAAATAAAAAAATAATTTTAAATTGGCAAAACTTTTTCTCTCGGTGCATCGCGGTGACGACGGCCACTCGGTGATCCGCCAACGACGCGCTAATGTCACCATTATCGAACTAAAAGTGTTGGCTTGTTCCTCGAGCCGTTAGAAATAACCATTTGCACGAGAACATTAGAAGTACATTAGGAGGCTGCAGTCTATGCAAAGCGCGTGCGAGGTCGCGGCGGAACTTCCATAAAGACTTTGCTTTATCCATGAGAGTGAGCAACCGCGTCTCGCGATGCCTCCTCAAGCTTCGCGCCACTAAAGTACGCGCACTTTGTTATTATTTATGCGAGAGTCGAGGGATAATGGCGAAATATGTGTCGGGTTTCGCGCAAGAGTACTTTGTTAGGTATGCTATCAGTGATTAATCGCGAGAGCCGCAGTCTTCGCGTTGTGCACTGAGCAAAAAAGCAGTTGAGTCGACAAAATCAGCGATCATCTGCCTTGCCAAAAAAATATCCAATATCTATTGAACAAATTATGTGTTAGTACCATCAGTTGCATTACACTTACTGACTAAATCGCGATCATTGAATTAATTGATAACGCATTATAGTAACTATATCATGCGTTTGATCGACTAAACAAGTAAAGGTCAAGTTTGATCGACTAAACAAGCAAAGTTTTATTAATTCAATTATTTCTTTTCTTAGTATAAGGAACGGTATTGGGCATTGATCATTTAAAATTTGACTTGACTAAGACAGTCGGCAAATCACTAATCAGAATAAATAAACCAATTAGTCGTCATATATATAACCATAGATAATTGATTGGAGAAATTAATTATTGATCTTATAATCAAATCGAAACTTGGTTGATAATTTCGTCAATCGACTAAGCTATTTTATATATTTTATAGCTATTTTATGACGACTAATTATAGTTTTGTCGATTATATCAGTCAACTAATATTTTAATCGACTGATATTGGTGAGAAGTCACATTTATTTAAAGCATAACGCTTGACGACATTTTTTACGGCGATAAATACTGCCTTGATAGTTTCTTATTATAAATATAAACGAGGAGAAAAGAAAGTTAAGAAGGATACGTTCCAGAATCCACTTTAGACGATCTATGACTCGCGACAGAATTTCGAGGAAGATTCTATCCGTAACGTGCCGTGTGCGATAATTTGGCGATTCTTTAACAAGCAGAATTCTGCACACCAAGTTCCGTCCCAAAATCGTAGAATCGTCTGACTCGGAAAATATCTCGCGCAGTAAATCCATCCTCGTGCATCGACACGGCGCACACGACGATTCGCAGCGGCACTTGGCGCAACGTAGCGAAGCACATATCGACGCGGTCGCGATCTTGACTGGTTTATGCGTTTCTTTTTTCTTTTCTTATTCCCCTCCTACGATTGGCAAGATGCATTAGCCTCGATCTCGAGGAGCGCGTTGCACCACCAGCCAGGGTTGGAGGCGCGTGAAAATCCTCGATCGGACAGTGAACGATCGACGACCTCATTGGCCGACGACACTTTGCACCTGCAAATGCGACAGTCACGCGCGCAATGCCGCGGACACGCGGTGGAATGCTCGCCCCGGCACTGACTAAGCGCTAATGACATTCGATTTAGCCGCGCGCGCGTACGTGGGCCCGCGCGTGTGCGAGTATCGCGTGTATTAATTATACGCCCGATGTGTGCGTGCGTCTGTGCCCTCTCTCCTGTAGGATATCTAAATTATCATCTGATAATTTAGCCGTTTAAAGTAGACGGACGATAAGTCATCGGCTGGAAACACAGCGCGCGTTCTAATCGCGTGTTAGTTTGCGTTACGTGTAAAATGACAGCTTCCCGGGCCGAGCCCGAGTGGATTATTGTTTACGCGTGTATCCGCGACACTGACCATACGTCTCGTGTGATAGACTGCGATAGGGTCAATGTGATATCGCAACGCCTTTCAATAGCGTTAGAGTAATAGTACAGATTCATAGTAAAAGGAAAATTATCGTGATGGCGTATCACCGTTACGCAATTGTCGAAAGCAACGGCCATGTACAGAACAACGTTGTAAAATTTTTACAAGAGGCCGTACGACTCACCAATGCGTACGCGCGGACGAACGTTTGTAAGCACCGTCGCGCTCAATCTGAGCCGCGCGTCGTGGCGCGAATTGCGCCACGGCACGTCACACCGGATAAAATGTACGTTTTATTTACGGATCACTTCAGCCGGTCTCGAGTAAATGCAAGGAGCACGCATATAATAAGTCGTGCCGTTTATTTCCCGTTTTCACGCCACCGATACCTCTCCGATTGCCGACGTGCAACCGCGATACGCGTCGTAAAATGCAACCCAATAAAAGCCCGGCGCGTTATCGCCGCGTTAACGCAACCATGCGCTCCGGCGGCGGTATAAAAGTGGTATAACTACGTCGGAATATGGCTGCAATTTGAATGCTACGCGGCTTCATTTGCATGTCAAAAGAGAACAGTCGATTATACCGTCCGCGCGGACGCGGTAGCAATGTTAGCGCGAAGGTTGCAACTACACGCGGAATCACGCACGCATGATTTTCGTATTCAGAGTCCGATCGGATGTGAACGGGCCCTCTGTGTTCCCCCACTGGCAGAATCGTATCCGTGTGTCAAAATGTGTCAAAATTGGGCCGTATCGTCCGACGAAACCGCCGCGCGATTTTTGACGCCGGAGGTTCGACGACCGCTGAAATTGAATAATGAGTACTGCGTGTCGCCGTGGAAAATTGAAGAGAATTGTCCGCCAAGCGAAATTACATAATACATCGCGATGACAATCGCACTCACGCACGTAGTTGCCACGGTTTTAACGGTATTGAGAAAATGAATGAGGGAACGAGAGTCTTTCGATTGACAGAACTCGTTCAGATTTCAACAAACTCGCTTTCTTATGTTCCCCTACTTTCAAGGGATTCGCGTAATTAATTATCAATTGAGTGCGGTGATCTATACACTTACAGTGTTGTATCTCACAAGTGTGGTATGGTTCCAACGACCATGCTATGGATATTTCTCGTCAATTTATGATATCGATTCTCTTTCAGAATTATAAATTCGCTATGTACTATGCTTTAACTCGGTTAAAGAAATCGCAAACTAAAGATAAGTTTAAAGTACCGTGTATATACCAGAGTCGAAAGTTTGGTTCTACATTAGCACTGTAAATTTCATTAAACGTGAAGAATCAATAGGGAATTACAAAATATAACACAAATATATTATCCTATCTCGATGCTGCAAGTGATGCAGTTGCTTTCCCCATGTTGACTTTTAAAAAACAATGTTTCAGAATTATTTAATATCCGATTATCTCAATATTCTACCCGCGTGCAATCTAAAATTTTAATTTTAAGCAAACAATGTATTGACTTACGTGACCTACTTAGCTACATATAAAATACGTGAAATAACGGAATATTACACGCTGAGATAAACAAATATTAAATACTTAATATCAGCAAATGAGTCAATAAGTGTTCTCTATTCATAATTATTTTCTCTCTTTCTTTTTGTTGAAAATGTTGACAGGATTTGGAGTTCTCCAAAAAGCTCAAGAGGAATAAATTGTAAAAATAAAAATAGCAAATATATGTCCAATAATGCTCAACGCTAGTAAAGATTAAACTTTTGAACTTGGCTGATAAACAAAAACGATAAAAAGACATTAATAGTTTCAAAACAGATGACATGAATCAAAGAGCATTATCAGGCGTGAAAAACAGCATCTGCGAAATTTACACTAGATTCTAAGGCCGAGGTATTCATAGTTGCAAATTATTTATCTTTGAGAACATGATTAATTATAAATGCATATTCATGGACCGTTATTCAGTCGTTTGGATCGATATTTCTTGTTGTATAATGAAGGAAAAACAGATACACATCGAGGAATAAGCAGAGATTTACAAAAATATAATCGTTCAACTATAAATAGCGAACTATGAATAGCGACCGAAATTTTGACTCAGATATCTTTATATTGTACGTCAATTCATCAAATTAAAATCGCAAATCTCCTGAATGATAAATGATTTGACACACCTGGAAATATCTGATGTCTGGTAGTCTGCATACCGCGTCCTTCATCTTGGCTTCCCAATCCAACATCCTGACTCTCGGCTTCTTCGTCATGGTACTCCGGATACCCCCTTGTGGTACTGACATTAGCACTGACACTCGCGTAAATTCGATCGCAGAGACGCGTGTTAATTAACGCGATGCCGCGACGAGAGTTCGATTAAATGTATTATAATAGTTTAAATATATCGTCGAAATAGTTTAAACATCCGACGGCAATAATAGCTAAAGCACCAACGCACGTGTACTACGCGACGTGTGAATCGCTCGCCGGCTCGGAGCACAATGGAAACACATGGAAAAATACGTGATGTACGATAGTGTGTTTAACCGCCTTGAAGGTCTGAGATGTTTTGAAAGTATTGATTGTTGTCATCGCTGGGCCGCCTAGTGCCGCGCGACGACGTTTGGCGATTAACGGGCGATGACGTGATCCTTTTTGCCTGTTGTTATGGTTTTCTCGAACGCTGCGCCTTTCTTCGCTTTTTCCGTACAAAGTCTTAGACCGAATTATTATTGTGTCGAGCCGACAAACGAGATAACATACGACACGACGTATGTGTATCGGTGTGTTACAATTCCCACCGGGAAATTAAAATAATTCGTGGTCTTTTAACAATGCGCTCTCGTCAACACTTCGTTAACACGCGTTTCTTCAATCGCATCTGCGCGAATGTCAGTGCAAGTGTAAGCACAAATGCAAGTGTCGTCACAAACGAACATCTGGAATGCCCGGATGAAGAAGCGAGGAGCAAATTCTAGATAAAGAACTCAGCATCTGAGGATTCAGGACACCATAGTGTGGACAACGATTTATGTTTCGAGGTGCGTGAAATCATTTATTGTACGTGATATTTTCGATTTTCGAACGAACGCGTCTGACAAATTTATTGGATAATTCTAAATCTTTTTTTGAGACTCAACATGCAGGAGTAGTAAAACGGCAATAAGAGACTATTTGTTACATTAGGAAAATAACTTGTATGGTGTTATATCTGGAGATTCTTTACTAGTACTTCATTTGAGGAAATTTGCAGAGTTAACTTGAAACCAAAAAATTTCAACTCGATTATACTCGACTTATAAAGAAATGTATCTCTTACTTTTGTGTTATTTTACGCGCTATTTGTCAAAGAGTACATACCGATCAAGCTATAAAAAAAAACTCTAATTCTATATCACAGTTCCACCCAATAAATCGTATATGTAATAAACGCTTAGTAAATCGGAAACCGGGCATTTGCAATTAGAACAGCTGTGCTGTGCTACGTGCCGTTTCGCACACACGCGCTGTAAATTTTCTCGGAACAGGTGCCTTTATCGCCGATACGAAATGACGAACATTCCTCGAATATTTGCAATTGCGAACGTGACTCCTGCGCTGCATTCTGCCGCGAATCTCGTTTTCCATAGAAACCGATAAAAATATACCTTTGCCCAAAGTTGAAAAAGACCAGAAGACCCGCGAACGATAATTTCGGGAGAATATAGACGGATAATACGGAGGCAAGATTGAAAACTGGATCGTACCATCTAACGTCGTCTATAATTAATTTCAAGCACTGATTTAGCAACATTGCGTGTGTGTGTGTATGGACATAAATAGATACGGTAGACGGTCAAAGTCGTTAAAACTTTTTATATTCTCATTGTGCACATTGCGTTGACTCATCGCTTCGCGATAATAGTCACAAAGATATATAATTCACGTGCGAAATTAGTATAGCAGACGGTCTGTCTTTATGCACCTACGGAACCTTCCAGTCTATACTTAAATCCCAACTATTATCGCCCATTTATGACGATTCTTTTGTCGACTATGTATCGACGACAATAATTATACGTGAACATTATTCGCATCGATAGTTGCACAGAAATTATGTTCCTTTCTATGTAGAATATAATCGACTGTATTTTCCTTTGTTGTGTATATATGCGTATACTCACTTACGAACTCGCGTTAGTAGGATGCAATTCCGTATTTTTGTGGACTCACCTTTTCATCTAGATTGTTTAGGTCCGGCAACTGGAACAAAAAGAAAACACAAACTGTGTGAACATATGTATATGAGATAGCGATCGCCAAATTGTTCAAATATCGGTGAGCTAATAGTTTTGAACGTTAAACAGTATTCGTTTACTTTGCATTTGATAAATTTTTACTTTCCCACTGGTTATTAAAATGATTATGAATATCCTTAAAATTAATTAAAATTAAAAATACTATCTATTTTTTTTCTAGTGAAATCAATAACCCATCTATTTGTTACATTAATCGGTTATGACAGAAGTCGAAAAGACAATATGTAGTGTGAAAGTAAATTTTATCAAATTAACGTGAAAACGTGTAGTATAGTAAAAAAACGTTAAATATGCAGAATATTTTAGAATATATTACTCTCTGATGTATTTTATTTAAAAAGAAAGTATTATACAATTTCCTTGAGATGTTTATCTTCTATTCGTTTGATTGAGATATAGAATTTGAGATTATTAATTTATTAATTCGGATATCAGCGCGACCTGATAAAATATGGCGAACCGATCGAAACATTAATCTCATGCGGAGTCTCCGACAAATTAAGGGTCTCTAGACATCGCTGTGTGTCAACGGATTTGTGAATCTACAATTTCAACGCTTATATAGCATTATGCAGCATTAAGCGTCGTATTACGTACTACATGTAGGATTTAGATACAAATCGCCCTGATTAGACGGATAAGAAAAGTCAACGCGCAAAGTGTGGAGGTTACTCAGAAAACAGTTGAGGATCAATGGCGCGTGAATGTATACGCCTAGTTGAGTATAAATTGCATCACGGGCTCGAAATGAACACTCATTACCATAACCAGATTCAACGTTGTCAATCGATACAGCTTATCTCTGAATCGAGCAGCCTTTGCTTGTTCCATAATAAAGAATGCATGACGTCGGATGGATTAACGCAGACGACAAAAGTCGAGAAAATTCACGCGAGATGCAAGAGACACACGCGCGCTTCGCGGCGAATATAGATAATTTTTGAAAGAAAGATAGTCAGGCGCGCCACCTATTCCAGTTATTTTGAAATGATATCTCCCGCTTTACCGACGACAGTCAGTTATCGATCCGTGTATAAGAGAACTGCCGTACCACCGCCATCGTCGTCGTCGTCGTCGTCGTCGTCGTCGTCGTCGTCGTTGACGTCGGCGGCGGCGGCGGCGGCGGCGGCGGCGGCGGCGAGCAGCGACAATCAACAGATGCCGCCCGGCGTCGTAAAATTTTGAGATCCCTCGCGCAAATTGAAGGAAATTGAAGCCAATTTGTATCAATCAGCCGTCGCGGCCGTACACATTCTCTCTCCCGGCCTGTGTGCACGTAGCGTGCTGGGACTAATTTAACACCCGATGTGTCGGGCCGCTTGATTAACCGTCACGGTCGTTGTACGTGCTCCGAAAGAAAGGGCATTCCGCGAAACGTAGACTTTACACGAGGCATTTCGCACGGAAATCAGATTTCCGTCGATCATCGAATACACACACGCGCGCGGACTCTGTATAGATGCAAATATTTAACCGCAGACGAAAAATCAATACTGCCGTTCGCGCACATGCTTGAACGAAGGTTCTTTCCGTTGAACGAAATAAAATAAAAAAAAAAAAAGAAAATGAATATCGAAATATATAAAAATCACGCTGAAATTCAACTAACGCCAACGTAACGAAGAGTGTCGTTTAAAGGTAAATAAAAATTCCTATACAATAATGTAGAAGATTACTCTTCCTCTCTCCTGATCTCCATCGGCTTCTCCTGCATCGGGAAGAGAGACGTCGGTTCTATTATTTATTCTCGTCATACGGTATACAGTAGCTGCGATCCGGAATTTAGCGGAGCGTGGTCGATCGATCCGGCGGATCGGATTATCGGAAGGGCTCGCCGGGCCTGGATATCGATTAAAGTCCCTCCGGCTCCTTTTACCGTCCGCCTCTGCCGCGGACAATTTCGAAATCGCTGACCGAGGAGGGTCAGCGGAATCCGCTCCGGTAAATGCGTAATCGTGCATAAATCAGCGGAGAAGGAGCGCCCGTCACGATGCATATTTATGCGCCCACGGCTCCGAGAAATTAAATTCACACATTTCATCGGCCCTAAAGCATGCGCATATTTTGTGGCGGAATGCTGAGAATGCAAGTCGGGGGATGCGCCAGGCCGGAAGAGATTCGTTCTTCCCGCTCGTGATCTCCCATTGTCGCGCATACTAATTGAATTGCCTTCATTAAGACGTCCGAGTGGGCGTCGTAGCGCGCGACGGAATAATCGTTAACGATTCGGCGCCGAAATTTTTGCAAATATATCTTCTTCACTGGCGCCGCGCGATGTTCGTGTACTCAGTCGCGCGCTAAGCGCACGAAGAAAAAAAAGAATACAAAATAAAGAAACAAGACATGGCTCATATTTATTCATACGATCGACCCGTGAATTACGATCCCGATTAACTGGTCGACACAGCATAACTGCTTTTTTTCCCTTGAATGTTTCGAATGTCACGCTATAAAAAATAAGAAGAGAGAAACGAGAAACAGCGTGTAATTTTTTTCTGCATAGTATACGCTGCAGAGAAGAGACTGGACGAACAATCTCATTAAATCGACGTAGAAGCACCAATTCCTGGACACGCATATAATTCTAGACATTCTTATCGTATTAGTCTTTGAATATAAATATTAAAATTTTCAACATGAAGAATATATGTATACACTGAAAAAGAAAAAATATCTAAGAAATATTTATTCGGTGGGGTAACATATTTACTTACGCTAATATAAAAGATATTTTTCAAATACGAAAAGATAAATTTGTTTAAAACTTTAGCTCTTCATAAAAGCAATTGTTGATTCTAATTGTTGATTCTACTTAAATGAAATAATTTAGATTTTAGTAAATACGTCTTCAGTACCTACTGAATATTTCTTTTTTTAGATATTTTTCTTTTCGGTATATATTCAATATATATATGTATATATATCGTGTTCAAAATTTAAATATCCGTATTTAAGAACCAAAAGGATAAGAATGTTCAGGATTAGGCACGTATCCGAGCATTGGTATTTCATGCCATCATTTTTCAACAATTTATCCGTTAAATGTACGGAACCAAGTGATCCAATACGTTTATTGGGCCGAGATACTTGCGTATCTTCCGATCGACTGAGTTTTCGCGTTATCGCTGTGCTTCGATCCGTTCGACAACTCGTATCCCATACGTCTTCGTGTGCCGTCGTGTGTGCAAGATTGAGGATTGGGAAATGGTTTAATGAGCCGTAAGTAGGTAATTGCGCGCGTCTCGTACGGCGTTCGCGGACGGTAAATAGGCTGACGGCAACGAAGATCTATTAATACGGCTTTATTCTGGTAAATAACGAGGAGACGCATCTTAAAATAACGGATAAATCGGGCCGTCTGGCAGGGAATTGTGAATGGAGAGACGCGGAGTCAATTTTCTTTCACCGTGGCGTTATCATAGATAAAGCTAGCTTGCGTACATTGTAATTACGAATATATATAATAAGCCAAAATAATTTCGGTAAAATTACATTTCCTATGTATAAGTGCAACCGCGCGCGATGTGAATTAGTAAAAAAAAGAACTCGGGGAAAATTGAAAAAAAAAAGAAAAAGGATATAACGCATCGTAGCGTTAACTGTTTTCAGAACAATGTGTTAAAAACGATAATTAAATAAAAATATACTGGCGAATATTTTCTCTCCGACATTTTGAGAGATACAATCCTAGGATTAACGGATCGTCACGTATAATAAACGACCGTGCGAAAAATAACGAACATATACTTCTCTCTCTCTTTCTTACTCTCGCTTCTAGTTTTGTTAGAAATGTAAATAAATATGATGTCAGTCGATTATGCATTCTCTCGGTGTATAGTTTCCCACGCATAATAGCTAGTATGTATACAATTTCCCCGTCGAGTCCAATATATGTATACGTGTGCAGTTTGTACAGTATTGTCAGAGCTTGATGACAGTACTTCGCCACGTATATTTGCGATTTATGCAACGAATAAACTTTGATTTACCGCGCATTCGCCGAACGCAATTTCTGCCGCCGTAACCGGACAAAGGGAAAAAGGCAGCAAAGTTGTAACGTCCACTCGTATCGTGCCATCATTTGCCAGCCAACAGTCTATTGATTAGACCTGCCTTTTCACGGGTACTTGTTAAAATCGCCAACCGTCGTGCACGACTATTTCATCCCGTGGCTTTTGTCCAAGCGGAATTCTCTCCGTTCCGTCCGTTTGTAGTTCCGCCGAGAGTAGTTTCATTCATCGCGGAAATTTGAAAAATCCAACACCCTCAATCCTTGTCGCGTCTCTCTCCTGTCTTCCGGTGAATTATCCGCGTCATCATATTTCCACCACTGTAAACAGCGATGAACAATCCCGAGAAATGCGATACATCCGCAAGAATACTCCATTAGTTAATGTTGCACACAACGGTAGCAATCTCCTTGGCGTTACTGCTCGCAAGTAAATGCACTTCCAAACACAAGTCGGGCAATAAATCAAATTACGCGTCTGCTAGCAGCAACTTCTCGCATATTTCTCGCTCAAAATAGAACGCACGAGAAATGGGATAACTCTTAACAATGTTGCTGAAAACATTCATCGCGTTACCTCACACAGATGTGCCTATTATAAATCCCTCCAATAATTCAAGTATCGCTCTCTCTCCGTAGCCACCCACCCTCTGTACAGCTACTCGACCGTGAGTATCTCTCTTTCTTCCACTCGAACGTTTCCGAGACGCGTTGTCGATTAAATATACAAAATCCCGACTGTGGCTGCAGTCTTCCGTGAAATTGCACGTTGCGCAGTACCGCCTGCAACTATGGCGTGCTCGTTGAATCTCTCCTCCCTAGCATTACCAGCCTCGTTCGACGGAATCTCCTTCGTTTCATCGACGAAAAAAATTCGTCGATATCCTCTTTCTCGCGCGCGCGCGTACGCGAGTAGCTGAGAAAAAAGAGCGAATGAGAGGAAGTTGCTTGCCACGCGTAAACCGACAGAACGACTTCCTCTGGGGTATATTCTCGTTTCCGCGCACCTACGCGCGAAAAAATCTATCCTAGACGCGGGCCCACTCGTCGTCCCACTACGGCGAAATTTATTTCAACTTACCCCCCGCGATGCCTCATCCATCTTTCCGGGCCGTAAAGCAGAACTCGAGGCGCGGGGGTTCGTTCCGAGGGCCACGCTGATGGACGTAAACCCGCGGCGAACACGCAACACCACGCGTAACGAATTTACGGCCACCGAGACGGAAGACGCCTCGTGTAACGGTATAAGGATGGCCCTCGAGCCGATATCCAACGGTAGCGTGCAAAAGGCTAAAGAAACGCACGCGAAGTACGGGCGGGCTCCGAGAACAGAGATACCGAGAGGAGGAGTTTCAATTCCCCGGAAACACGTGAATGGAGGAAAGCCAGAGTGTATATTGCGGGGAAATCGTAGAACAAAAAATTTCCAAAACGCGATTGAAATGCCATGGATTCCATGCGACCGACCGACCGACCGACCGCCCGTCAGACGTAAAATATCACAACGCGTTCATGATGCATTCCATTTGAAAAAGAGCGGTATAATGCGCGCGCGCGCGCGTGCGGAGAATTACATCAATTTGAATATAACGGTGTGATACTTTAACGTTATAAAATAAAATCGAAACGAAAGCGGGGCTCGTGTTTTTCCACACTGGTGAACGCCGAAATATGAAATATCGTTTTGTTCGTAACATCTTGTGCAAAAACGAGCGGGATGATGCGCGCGCGCGCGAGTCGAATTGCCCGAATAACGGCACGATACTTTGCCCGTTTTAAATTCGCGAGATATACCTCTGGCCGATGCTCGTGTCGACGTCATATCTAAAAGAATCGATTTCCCGCACGAGACTGTTGTGTCACGAGTATCTGACACTCGCGCGCGAGCTACAAGTGCCTATCATCGCCCTGTACAATAACGATGCCAGCTCATATCGAGTATTCGCGACTGTCGATGCATATAGTCGATCGATCAGATGTTCGACGAGTGACCAGGTTACAGATACGATTGTCATCGACGACGGCTCGTTATACATTTCTTTGAAGACATCAGATGTCCCGAGAGAATCCAGAGAAGTCGCTCACCATTTCTCTAAAGTATAATCGGAACGAGTTTCTCATAAAAAAATAAATATAATCTCATAGTTGGCGGAATCCTCTTGTGTATGTGATCTCAAGAGGATTCTTCTGAAATCAAAAAGAAAATATTCTAGCAAAATGTGCTTAAAATTTGAGGAATTTCGTCGTTTATCTACAGTACAAGTGTTCCTCTTAAAGCTTCTGGGTTCTACCGCTGCGGGACCCCGGACTGATGACGTCAGAAACGAGAAAACGCGCGACAAAAATTCTTGCATGTAATTTTTAAATAAAGAGATATTTGTATGAAAAAACACTTGAGATTGCTTGAGCATGCTTGTAAAATGCTCCAAAAACTATTCTTTTCTCTTGACAGTCAATAAATAGCTTTAAAATTAACGTGACACGCAATCTTCCTCTTTGATCTGCCTATCCACATGATTTTGCCATGTTAATTTTAAAGTTATTTATTGACTGTCAAAGGAGTAATTTTCGGAAAGTTTTACAATAGTATATTCGAGTGACTTGAAATGTTTCTTTATACAAATATTTTTTCGGCTTGAAAATGACACGTAAGAATTTTGGACATGCGTTTTCGCGCTTCTACCGTAATCAACCCAGTAGGACCTTGATAGAAATTTCTTTTAGTAAGAGAACATTCTGCTTTAAGCAAATGTATTCCTTTTGATTAAAAAAAAACCAGTTAGAATGATATCTATTAGATTTCCGAATAACTATCCACTTTGCTGGAAGAATATTCGCTAATTATCGGTAAAACACTCCTTTTATTAATTCAGTCACAGACATCTTCTACTGATTCGCTTTAAGAGAGGTGACATCGAATCGAATTCGCGAACGTTTATGCAAAGCGATTAAGAATATCGTTGCTGTCATCGACACATTTTTCGCTGTATTTTCCGCGACAAAAATTTGACGAAGTACACGTACTTCGGTGTGCGGGAGCTGTATAATAAATTGAACCGTAGACCGCTCTGTAGCTCGCCTATACTTCAATCGATAGTTCGCGGGAGGAAAGACAATATATCATACAGAGTGAATAATCTTTCGATAAATTTTGCCAGGATAAAGTTCCCTCACATGTAGCGCACATGTGAAACCGATAAAACAGATTTATCAAATTTCCGAAATCTCCTCTTCGTTCTCGAGATCGCGTCTTCGTTCTCCTGCCTTCCATTCTGATTCGTTTTCTGTATCTTTATCGCGATTAACATGTTTCCTTGCCGGTGGCGTGAGCCACCGACGCTGGACTTGCTGGTCAGGCTGTTTGATATTTCCGTTATTAAGAGGAACATTGTCACAGGTCATCGGTCATCCACGTGGCGTCACAATGCCACGAGTCACATGAAATCGCCGTGGCACGGAACGTGTTAATCTCTTCGCACCTAGATGAGAAGCACACCTTCTAAATGGCTCCGTAAAAAGCCAATAAGAATCTCCGCGTCATGCGGTCTGAGAAATGAGACGTGAAAATAATTATTCGATCAAACGATACGGAAAATCGACATACACGTGAAAATGTTGCTTTTCCCGGGTTTGCGCCATTATTCCATGCGCAAGCGGTTCAGTCGTATCGAAGACCTGCCAGACTCAATAACGCTCCGTACTGTTACTAAAGCCGTGCGCCGTGCAAAACGTCGCGGCTTATCCGTCACGTATAAGTCAGGCACTCTTAGGCCACTTGGCAATATCGACGGAATACAAACGATAGCGTGCTTCTGGCGCGTCGGTGCATTCGAGTTGTTTCGAGCGAGCCGACTGCGCCGAGCGGATTCGAGATGTTGTACCGTTTTTCCGATTTTACAAACGGCGGCCGTTTGTGCATGTACGCGTAGCCGCGCACAGTCTCGAATTCTCGCCGGCTGTTACTCGAGCTCTTAATCTAAAATCTAACGATAGCAAGGTCCATAAAACGGCCGGGATAAATCTGCAGTAGCAGCTGCCGTATGGGACCATTAAATCTTAACAGCCGCCGGTGTAACCGTTGGTTTCTGGAACGGGAGGTGTAGGTAGGTAAAAAGGAAGGAAGGAAGGTAGGTAGGTAGGTAGGTAGGTGGATCGCACTTTCCGATACCACCTGTAGCAAGTACGGCTAAATCGAAATCAATCGTTTGCCAAGTACGAACCGGCTTTAAAATTCGTCGTGTTACGATATCCGACTTACGATACGTACGCAATCTCTTTCTCCGATGTGCAAAGGTAACGAGTACGGCCAAGTGTCGCTCTTCTTTCATGGGACTTTGCAAAACTTTGAATATTCCAATAAATGATAGATCTAATGGAAGCTTATAGGACGAGTAGATACATCAAGAATATAAAATCTCAATATTATTCTCGTAGTCGTAAAAGTTAGGAGGTAAACGAATAAAAAAGTTGCAATCTCAACAAACAGCCATACTAGTTGAGAGTTTTTTGAAAAAGGGACGAAATGTCTATTGGCGCTTGAACTCTCGCTCTTTGAAATACAAATTTCTCGCGTTCGGCCGTGAAGATTTTTCGCGGATTAAACATTGCAAATGAATTATTCGCGCTTTTCCGGAAATTCAGCCAGTCGTGCGGCCCGTTGAAATCAATTGCGCATTGTTGCAAGTTGCGGGGCTATAAACTACCGGGAATTTTGTACGTAATTCGCTGTAGCATGAAGCAGTATCTATGTGAAGCAGTATCGCATGAATAACATTAATGATCTCTCGCAGCGCACACAATATTAAAGAGGACGTAATGTGAAGCGCTTCGTTTCATCGCGACTTTCATAAACAACGAATATTTCGGAAATCGAAAGTTGGAGAAAAATACCGCCGAATGCTTGGCGTCGTGCGCAAAAATCATATATCGTCTTTCCTTCTGATTATAACCCTTAGATTACGGTTATTTTTATCAACGTTAATTGCGACGTCGTGTCCTCCACCAATTAAATTTTGTTTTTATCAAATAAGGGAAAATATGAAAAGAACCATTAGATAATAATTAAATAAGGTATTTACTTGCAATTTCTAATATTCGGATATTTTTCACAAAAGATATTGTACGAAAAACTATTCTTGGGCTCTTTTAAAAACTTTACGTTGTAGCCTAAAGCTTAATCTACAATGTATTATTTGCTCTTCCTGTTTCTTTATCTCTTTCTGACTTACACCTTAAGCTTTAAACTAAAAAAAGACAAAGAACAAGAAACAAAGGAAGCAAAGATTGATACACATTATAGATTAGGTTTTAGAGTCAAATTTTCAAACAGCAAATATACGCGAGTTTGGATTTATTTGTTTCCTCTATAAGATATCCGAAAAGCACAAATGTGGAAGGGAATAATTTTAAAAGATATATCATTATCTTTCCTACATTGTCGTTTTTATTCAATCTTTTCATTCACTTTTCTATAAGGTATATACAAAATGCTTAAAAAAAATTTCGTTTATGCAACATTCAGCACAAAATACAATGAACCGTTGCATCTGATATCACCATTACAAGGCATGGTGAGCCTTCAAGTGGTGTATCTCGCATTTCATCCTAACACGACGTACAATTACGAAAAATCAGTCAAGCATCATCGGTTATCTGTAACATCGATTGCAAATTACGAAGGGTCTCGCGCGCCACACTCGAGTATCTTACAGTGTCGTCGTGTCGCGTTCATTACGTATACCGCCACGATCCATTTGGTCAAATACGCGCGCGACTTTCCGATATTCTTCCAGCGCGCGTTTCGAATTTCCGATCGTCACTGTTAAAAATACCGCACCCGCCGCACATCGGATCGGGAGCGCTCTTGGGATATACGCGTCGGATTCCCCAAACGCCGCTTCGCCATAAATCCCGGTGAAATCTCTGGCACGCGGCGGAATCGATGAGGCGCGCGCGACGAGCCGCGTCTTCTGGATCGCCGTGTATCGATCGGACATTGCGCGAACCACGGACCGACGCGCAATCGACGATCCTGTGCCCGATCGATGTGCCACACACTAACTGCCGCCTATCTCCGTGTCCGGACGGCGGTCAAACGAAAGCCATAGCAATCTCGTCCGCGTTGCTTTCGTTGTCGGACGAGGGGGCAGGGGCGCACGACGAGCGGGAGACAACGGATTGCCGCTTGTTCTGATCGAAACAACTATCCCCGGCGTGTCCTCGCCGTCCACGATTACCGCGGAAAGATCCGAACGGGTACACGTCCGAGTCGCTGTTGTCATCGACGTTGTCGGCGACATTGCCGAACAAATCGGGAGGGGATTAACGTTACAATCGTCGCCAACTGCTAGATACATCCTGTGTATGATTATCGAGGACTATTACTGGAACGCGATGCTCAATAGACGCGACACATCAGTGCATCCCTCGGGCTGCAACGTCCTGCTGATTAAAAATAGGTCGCGGAAGTGCTGGCGTCAAGAGTGCCCTTCGACCAAGGCGATGTCGCCCGCGATTGACGCGAGAGCCGGTCTAACCGCCGATCAGTAACCACGGAAGGAACATGGTGACGCACAGAGCCGCCAAGCAGCTGGCGCACATCGCCAGCGGGCTTGCGGCCGGTTCCGCTTCCGTCTCAACCGTCCAGTACTCCTCGTCGCGCTCGTACTCGTACACGTCGACTTCGCATCGGAAGCAAACGCGAGCGGTGCTGCTCTTAGGATGCGAACTATCCCGGCGCAGCAACAACGCCGAACCTTTGCGCTCCAGCTTCCAACCGGGCTCCTGCATCAGCATCTGCGTCATCTTGTATGTCCCGGAATGTCGCGAGTCTCACGGCCCGACAAAAGCGACAGCAACTCTTCGGCAACAACTCGATTGGGATGGCAGCGAGGAATCTCGGATCGTTCGCACGTAGAATATCTTCCGCGTGGCGGAAATATGTTCTCTCGTGGCCCGTCCCTAGTTGGCTCCGCTAAAGTTGCGCCACTTCCAATAGACAATATCTTCGCCGGCGTCTCGTCGTTGTTCCGCGTCGTCGATGCGGAGGGCCCCGCCTGGTGCTACCTGCAAGGAAAGTTCCAGCATAAATCGGCGGATCGCGCGCAGTAACGCGGCAGTTTAATAACAGGTTCGTTGGCGCACACGGTGGTTCAAAGGGATGATCGCGCGTCACGAAGAGTTTCTATCAAACTATCGGCACTTTGTGCGTCGCAGAATTTCCGCGTTTTGTTCGACTCGACGTGACAAAGAGCCCCCCCGAGATCGGTCGCCGGTCGACGTTATTGCGACTGAATTTCGTTTCGCGCGCTTGTTTTCCTCTTTTTTTCTTTTCTGTGTTTTTACGTCACGCGACGGAACGACAGGTCCCGTTGTTATGTAATACGCGCACACGGTTTTGTTCAATGTCGCGCGATTGCGTCGCACTTCTTGAGCTGGAGTCGCACGATTTCATGTCCTCTTGCATGCGTGCTGATCGGCAGTTGAGTTCACCCACGTGAATTGCTGTCGTGCATCGGAAGGTCTATGCAGTGAACTGAGTCGCCGCGCCGATCAGCATGCATGTCAAAAGGCATGAAATCGTGCATCGTATGATTCTACACGCTCGATCGGGTACACGGCTTTTATCTGTGACAGTTTTTCATTTATGGTCGAGCATGGTGATATTAAATTTTTAATTCACACACCAGCTGTGTGTGAATCGCAGCTGGTTGTGAAATGCTTCGAACGATTATGTCATTCGTGCGCAGAGCCGCGAATTATTTCGCGAATTACACGCATATTTTTCTTCTCATTCGGACGTTGCGGATGTATGTGGTTGCCCGCGGAGTTTTCGAATCTCTCCGGCGCGAATGTCTGTTTTCCCCGTAGTCCCCCGCTTGTTGTCGCGCTTTATGGAACCCGTCGTGACCTCGGGCGGAAAGCTAGATAGAAACCGGTCGTAGTTCGTCAGGACGGCGCGACCGATTCATCAGCTTTCCGTCGACAGAAACGAGGAATTAATCGAAGCAACTTGGACAACTTCGCCGCAGCTTCCGGCGACGAGATCGCGGGGCTGTTAATGTTTCCGGTCGATCGCCAGGCTGGCCGCTGACAAACCCACATTTACGAGACCAGGCAATCTCGTAAATGTACCGAAAAACGACCGCGAGCGAAAACTCGGCCAAGCCGGTAACGAGCGATAAAGTGCCCTCTCCCTCCAGGCAGACAGTCGCGGAATTGCGAATAACAAGCCGCTTTTATTTTCTATGTGACGGGGACGTATAATTTCACTCGTTCGCGCGCGCGAGCCTAAATAAATATGCCGTATAATTCCGTTTCTTTACAATGACTCGCGCATTTCGCGTGCTTTAAATCGCGTACTTTGTACGCGTTAATCGGTTTTACACGCAGTGAGTTGAAATGATGAAAAGGAAAGAAAAAATCGTCGCGGAATAACGTCGAAATAGATTTCATTTCGCTTATCAATGGCAATGGTGGTAGCGATTGAAAGCGACGATACACTGAGAAAGAAAAACAGCAGTCGGATCGACAAAGGATCGGCGATTATCCACCTTCAAAGGGATATTGTATCTATCGAACAAATTACGTGTCAGTACCACAATAAGTCGCGTTGGTATAAGTTACTGATCGAATCACTGACTCCATTGATAACTCGTCACAGCAACTGTACTATTCGTTCAATCGACCAAACGCTTGCGAATTTTGTTCATTTTGTTTTTCAAGCAAAGTCTCGTTAACTCGAGCACTTTTTGCTCCTCAGTGTATCAATTTACGATATTTTTCTGTTCGCAAAATTGCTCATCAAACAAGCTCCGATATTTCCCGCGATTAATTTGGTCCTTTTTGCTAGAAACGCAGAGTACCGATGAAACATTAACGCGGACATCGTCGACACGAGGCGAAGACATCTGAGCGGAGAGTTAATACAGAACGGAGCGGTGCTTAAACGCGTTCATTTCCCAGACAGATTGTCTACTTTCTATGCTTTGTTTGCCGTGGCTCTCTGGTCAATTTCCAGCAAAGTCCTGAAACCCTCGGCGTCGCACTGCAGGTAATTACACTGCAGTTTGTCGTGTCGATGATTAAAGCTTGTCGAATTAAATCCGTTTGCATGTGAGGCTAAACAGAGCGAGTGACAATGCATCCTAATTACAGACCGACGGCTCACGTCAACACGGGGCGAGCATGAAAAGCGGATTCGAGATTACCGTTATTGAGGAAAACACGCGTCCGTACGCGTTCATTATCATCGTCGTCCTACTTTTCCGTCGATTCGGAGATTTTATGACTCGCGAAAACATACAAAGAGTATGCAGTCCGTAAGAAAGAGAAAGAAGAGAATATATCTCAATATTCTGACAGGCCATCAAATGAGGTCAAATAACCATCCCTGCGAAAAATTTTTTCAGACGTCACATTTACGAAGTGTCTCGAATCATATTTCTCCGTGCTTCATCGCGGCTAATGTAAATATACACATCAATCGAACGCGAATGGGTAAAAAAGCCCGTTCATTATATGCATTCACATATATTAAATTTAAGCTGTGATATAAATTTAAATTGCATAGCGCTCAACTTCATGAATAGCAATATGCGCGTAATGAGATAGCAATTTTATTGCAATATTAATATCCCGAATAATTTTGTGAAAGTTACATGCCGCAAACATCGTTTGGCTCAACAAGTAGTTTTCCGTAACGTAACTTTTAATTAGTTAAATTCAACTGCAATAATAATACCGATAGCGCGAAGTAGGTAACACTCTCACGAGCGGACTTTACAAAGCAGCCGCATTATCGTCGCGAGTTTCTCAATGCCCTCGAAGCGAGAGAAACGCAAATTGAGACCAAGTGCCACAAAGTATAACTTACGACCATCTTTCTTAAAGCTAGACGAGAGTAATGAAATTTCCTCAGACTCTGATCTTCTTGTGTTTTACCTTCTATCCCGCAAGAACAATGGCCGCTTGGCTGCAGCTTTCTCTCTCTCTCTTCTCTCTCTCTCTCCCCCTCTCTCTCTCTCTCTCTCTCTCTCTGTCTCTCTCCCTCTCTTTTTCTCTCTCTATCCATCTTTGTTTCTCGCGCGCGTGACGTCCTTTGGCGAAAGAACGCGACGTAGAAATTAACACATCAAATGAAGTTGAATGCCAACGTAGATACTCAAACAATGGAGGATTTGTAAGTATAAAGCGACCGATGTATTCATCGAGCAAAGTTCAACTCCGACTGCATTAGCGAACTCGAGAATCTCGAGTGTTGTAGCCACAACGAAATTCAGGCGAAACAAATCGAAATACACAGTACGAATATAATATATTTTCGTCGTGGCCGGAAAAATTAATTGACATAAATCTATTTGGAGCCGGATTCGCGACGAGATTGAAAATCGGCAGAAACAAAGAGAGCGCACCGAAATGCAAAGGACGAGAAAAAGATTTCTTTTTTATTCTCAAAGTTTACACGTGTTTACCGTGTAACTGTATTTTGTACAGTTTCAAAATAAGACTTTTTGATTCGTTATTCTTGAAATCTGGTTCTGGGTCACGGTCTCTCTTCCCCGCTGTCGTCTGAACTATTCAACGTTAAAGTGCAGCATACTTTGCAGACATACCAAGCGCGAGCGAGCCTTCTCTCGAGATTATTTTAATCTCGATGAAAGTAGGCGGCATACCGGACTCATTCAATTATAAGACAAATTACGACTCGAGAGCCAGGCTAGGAGTCCATGACGACGAACGCGTCGAAGTTTGCCGAGAAAACGCGCGACGCCTTACGACTTCGTCGAGTTATCGTGGTCCGGAAGGTTGCCACCAGTGGCGTAATCAAAGTTTCTGCATAAGGGGTCACTGACTGGGACGATAAAAGATAAAAATTGCGTAGCAATGTGTTGATGAAAAAGCACTGACCCATTTATTAGGATTATTCGTAATTTTTTTTTTTTAGAAAAACCAGTACTCGTTCGTTTCGACGATCGAATGCACGTTATCGTGGAAGAAATGTATATCGAAAGAGACATCGAAGACAGTCTAACTCGTAATTGCATTCATCCAATGCCCCACATTTCCTTAGATATTTCACATTACTTTTTGGACGTTTGCATGTTATAATAACACGCGAGTATTTAAATTGCGAGACAGAACTTGTTTTTTGTATTGTCGATCAGATCATAGCTAATTATATACAGATGATTAATCCAGTCCGAAGAGAAGCGATCTTTGCTATCGGGAAAACGGAAAGAATATTTCTCGAACGAAGTGCAAGAACAAAGTCCCCGATGCATTAATAATTCCGTGAACTTCTCAAGTCAGAAAACATGTCATGACATTTCTTGTCGCATTCCGGGATGATACTTTCGAGCGAACACTTGTACTACTTTCTCCGAGTAGTTAGGAATTTTTCAAAAGTACGACCCGTCGCAGATAAATATTAATATGCGCACATTGATAAGTATTGTACAGAGCGTCTTATATATATATATATATATATATATATATATATATATATGAATACACCACGAATATGAATATACCACGTCAACCTGAACAAAAGATACCTTGCCATTCTTCAAACAATCGTGTAAAATTTCGTGTAATTAATGAAAAAAAAAATTGGCGAATCAATGCGCGGGACATTGTGGGAAGATCTCTATAGCCATGATTTCATCGAAAATGGTTAAGAAACGACTATCTCTAAGCGACAAGGTGGATATTGGCTAACCTCTGAAGGTGAAAGAATGATGCGAGCGGTGTTTGTAGACAATCGATTGTCGACGTTCGCGAGCAAGTCTCGTGTCGCTAAGAAACACTCGCAAGACTCGCAGACTCGAAAAAAAGACAAACACGATTTAACTGTCAGTTAGCTCCACCAAGAGGTTGGAAGAATCGACCATTTCCGATGAGATCGTGCCTACAGAAGTCACTTCATAGCATCGCGTGCACTGATTCGTCAATATTTTTTGACTGATTACTCGAAATTTGTTTAGAAAATGGCAAATTGACAAGGCAATTTTTGCTCAGATGCACTGGAATGTCGGGATACTATACATGTATACACTATAGATGCA